GTTCGCTATGAATTTTTTTTTTATTTTACACACATATTCTGGTTATCTTCCTTCTACAATCATTATCTGAAAATTAATGACTCAACTTCAAAGTCACCCTGTATATATATATATACAACTTCGAAGTTGAGTCATTTATTTTAACAGTGAGTAGATCTGATCAAAAGAAATGTTTTTTCCTTTAACATTTTTGTGGTAAAATTAAAGTAACAAAGTAATAGCCCTTTAGAAGTTTAAGTACCGCCCTGTCTCAATAATATATCATGTGCTCGTGTTTGGCAACAACGGATATAATCCGCCTTATCGGTTCATCGCATCGGAAACAAAAAAGCGAAAGAATTTGAAACGCTTATCACGATGTTTTTACAACAATTTTATTCAGCTGAATTCAGTCAATGTGTCAGTCGCGTGAGTGAATAGTGGTGTTTGCTGCGTGGCTCAAACGAAATAAAAATGGCACATGTTTACGAAAATGCTGAACTTGTGGACATGATTCTTATTTACGGGGGGGGGGAGTCTTTACAAAATGCTGATGCCGCGGCATCACGGATTTATGCGGATCGGTTTCCCAATCGAGTGCAACCAACCCCTCGTGCCTTTGTTAATGTAGTACAAAGGGCTCGTGAATCAGATGACTTAAGACCTCACGGGGGAGGGCATGCCGTTGCTCCAAGGCCGCACGATCAAATACAGGTCCGCACTGAAATACTTGTCGGGAGGATACTTCATAAAACAAGGTAACATTTTTTTTTATTTTTACACACATATTTTGGTTTATCTTCCTTCTACAATCATTATCTGAAAATTAATGACTCAACTTCAAAGTCACCCTGTATATATATATATATATAGAAATTTGGTGGGATATGGGAAATCTTATAACAGCATGTGTTATTAACATGTTGCGCTGTTTTATCGCTTTTTTGTATGTTAAAATAGCAAAGTCAATAACACAAGCTGTTATAAGATCACTCATATCTACTTACTAATCTGAAAAGGTTCAGAAGAAAAACATATACTGCAAATACCTAAATATATATTTGTTACATAAATCTCATACATTTTTCTACAAACAAATTAGTATTAACATCATTATGGTCCAGCCTTTGTTGGCACCTACAGAAATCAAAAATTAGAAAAAAATTGAATTGTGTTGATGTTTCTACAATTCACAGATTTCATCATCAAGAGATAACTGCTACCACAGCTCCCCTGAGGGCATCCATGTTATTGTTCAATAACAATACTTGGCTTTGATTTCATTAAAATTATAGTGAGCTTTACATATCAACCCTACTGCTCTGACGATAGCTGATTTAAAACGAAGTATGAAAACTAACTTGGACAAAAAGCAGTACAAATCATCATTAGTTATTGAGTCATATAAAAACTTACAAATGTTGTGTTCTGCAAATATCCTTCAGAGCTGAGCCTTTTGGTTAGATCAGACGTAATCTTTGAGCCTCTGATAATTCTCAGGACCTTAGGGGTTGACAACGGCAGCTATTAACATAATAGGGACTTTATTTAATTAACATGAAATGTTAAGAAAATGACATAAGTACTGAAAAAGTAAGAGCACAGGAAGAAACCCGCCGGAAATTTAAATCTGGCCAATCGGACAACGTCAGGTGTGAACACCGTGAATAAGTCGCCATTTTTGAGGGTGCGACATGGTTGTCATATTATAGGCGTGTTCTTTTATTCCATCGATCGTCAAGCTGGAATCCATTAGAGCGTTCTTAAATTCAAACGTTGAATATTCGATTAAACATCATATTGTTATTTTTTCCATCGATAGGTACAGCGACAATCCATCAGTAGTGGGACTCCGTGTCTCATGGAATTCTAGACCTTGCTTTCCACTGTTGATATCGACTGTAGAAAGCAACTGTCGCGTTTTGTGGCACTCTGTGTCACAGTCGACTACGCTTCGGGTATTTTCGGCAATGTACTATCTAAGATGAAAGTAATTGCGTTCGCGGGTCAAAAAATGAACCAGTTCGGAACTAAAACTGAATCATCCAGAATTACACAAATGCGCATGTCCAGTTATTTTCTAGTTCCAGATTTACGTTTACCGCGAACGACTTTGGAACCGTTTGCGGATTCAACACCGTTGCCAAGTTGCCCTCTATTTTGTGCTGTTGCCAAGTTGCTATTCGATTCACGCTATTGACAGCTTATAGGTGTAGGTTTATTCTTTAATTCACCGGTTGATTCCATCACTGATGGATCCGGTGAGCTTATGGTTGACAGCTGATGTAATAATTTAACACCCTGTATTTCCTTTAGCGTTTTAGACAAAAGTTTTATGATCTGCCCCCATTATTTTGATGTTCATTAAAAAGCTAATATATTTATTAATATCCATACCTCAAGCATAATTGTATTAAGCCACAAAGCAAACTTCACAGGATAGCAAAAATGAAAAATATCTTTTGGTGTTTTATCATCTCACAATTTTTTAGTAATATCTAGTAATTTTTAATTTGTTATGTTTATGTTTGTATTGCATTGGCTCTTTTGACATTGACTGTAATTAACCTATCACCTGTGGCAGTGTTTTATATATGTTTGAAACCTTGGTCTTAAATCAAATCCAAGCGAATAACCAAAATTTCTGTGTTATGTGCCGCGGTTATAATATGGTTCAAGATGACACACGGGTTGATGACGTCAGTTACACGAATCGCTTGAACGCGTTGGTTTTAACCGCGGTTTTGTTGCAAGTTGTTTATTTTAGAAAAGCGCGTATATAATCTCTGATTATTTTTATTATCACTTAATAATCGGTGCTTTTTCGTCTACAACTGTATATGGAAAGTTTAAATAAGAAACCTTTCATAATATTCATGGGAGAAATGTTTTTTTCAGATTTTTGTTTTAATGATGGAACCATGGCTTTGTAGCTATGATAACTTTCAATTCTCTAAATTTTTCCGCATGTCAAAGAAACATTTATTGATTCAGCAGAAATGATGAAAAAAGAAATTAGCAAAACCGTATACAGGTGGATATCATCTAGTGAGTTTATATGGCCATATTTTAATATTCTTGTGGTATATGGCTACACAGGATACTTTGTTAAGCATAGGAACTACATTTAAAGTGTCCCCAACAAGCGTAATGAGTATAACTAATAAGGTGCTCCACTTTATGGTAAAACTGAAGTCAGCCTGTATCATTTTTCTCAAAAATGAAGCTGAAGTACAATAACAATATCCAATACCCGGCAAAATTCTAACTTGTCACATTTCAAATAATAACCAGAAATATAAAACTACTCTCGAGTTGGGTAAATACCATAATTTTGCGGTGATAACTATGATATATAACAGCTGATTCGTGACGTCACGGATCTTATAACCAAATTGATAACTACTATACTCGCTTGAACGGATTGGTAAATACCAGCCCAAAATGGTAAATACCATTTCCATTTGGTTATCCGCTTGAATTTGATTTTAGTTTTTGATTGCATATTTCACTGTTGAAAGATAATGGCTCTAGTACCTATAAACATATTGGCAGTTGAAGAAGAGGACAGGCTAGATGATATCTGCATCGAAAATATGGAGAGGAGATTGATGAGAAATCAAAGTGATCCTTTTTCATTTGAGGATGTGAGATTCAAAGAATTGTTCAGGCTGAATAAAGACATGGCCAAATATGTTTTAAATGGCATCATACCTCATTTGAACCAGGTGCCGAATCCTGTAGCAGTACCTGTTATTATATAAGTTTTTTGCTGCGCTTCATTTTTATGCTACTGGCACTTACCAAAGAGTGATAGGCAGGAGCTATGACATTTCAATGTCTCAGCAGAGTATTTCAAGGGCTATTCATGAAATAACTAATGCGATTATCAGTACATTTTCTGAACAACTGGTACACTTTCCAAGAACAGCATTAGAAAATCATGTAATTAAGCAAGGTTCATGGAAGCAAGAGGTTTCCCTGGGGTAATTGGAGCAATTGATTGCACACATGTGGAAATACTAAGGCCAACTTTGGAAGAGCATAACTATTTGAACAGAAAGGGTTACCATTCCAAAAATATACAAATTGTAAGGTTAATTGATTATATTTAAATATAATTCTATAATTTCCAAAAACTGTTTCAGGTTTGTGATCATGATCTAAAAATTCTTAATATCAATGCCAGGTTTGCAGGTGCATCTCATGATTCATATATATGGAGAAATTCATTGGTGAGGAATGAATTTGAAGCTTGCTATCATGGAGGTATGCTCACAGTGTTATTTGGTATTTCATAATCGAGGACCTTATTGCATATATACGAAATATGCACAAAAGCAATTGTTGATTGATATTCCTTTTTGTAACATTCACAGATGAAAATTATTTTTAGATAACTTTTTTTTTAATGCAGGTGATAGACATTCATGGCTCTTAGGTGACTCAGGTTATCCTCAGGAACCATGGTTGATGACTCCTATCCAAAATGCATTGCCTGGTTCGCCAGAAAGAAGATACACAGATTCCCATATTCAGACAAGAAACTGTGTAGAAAGGTGCATAGGTGTATTGAAAGGAAGATTCCTCTGTTTATCAAATGTGCTCAGATATAGCCCTGAAAAAGTGGGTAATATTGCAAATGCTTGTGTAATTTTACATAATATATGTGTAGCTGCTAGATTGGATTTTAATTTGGAAATGCTACCACTACAGGATACTGACAATCATCTGGAACAAGGCAATTTTGACCAAAGAACAGAGGTGGGATTTTGCTAAGAAGGAACATTATTGCCAGATACTTCACTAATTAGTATATATGTATCATGTGAGGTATCTTGTAAAGATGTATTATCCTTTTCCATATTACAAGTTGTTTGTCACTAAAACATGTTAATTTTTGAATCTGCTTAGGGCAAACATGCCAGTTTTGGAAAAGATGTTATAGGAATAAGTACTAAGACAAATTGTTAAGTTCCATGTAAAAATATTTAAAAAAATGTCTATATTTTGATACATACTGTGGTAGATATTTTAGAAAATGGTGATTGAAATGGTTTCTAAAATGAGCATATCACTCATTCTATGAACTTTTTTTATACTGAAGCAGCCGCGTAGGCAGAAGCCCAAAATGCCATGGCACCGCGATTGCAATGATGAGGGACTTGAGACAACTTGTTTATCCAACCCTTAAACTGTCTAAGGTTGGTTGAACTGCGAAAAGCCTTCTCAGGCAGATTGTTCCACCATCTCAAAACCTTGGGCACAAAGGAGCTGTCGTACCGGCCAAATCTGGACGTACTCAGTTGGGATGGGAGGCCAAAGTCTGACAGGCTCGTCGCGCGGTGGCATCATGGAGCCGAGCTCCGAGGAGCAGATCCCGTTGACATAGCGGTAGGAGAGAGCTCATCGACATCCCGTCGATGCGACAGGGTCTCGAGACCGTCCATCAGAGAAGGGTCATCTATAAGCCTGACAGCCCTTCTCTGAACAGCATCGAGCATGGATAATGTGGTTGGAGGTGCAGTTCCCCAAATATGGGAGCAATACTTGAGGCTAAGTCTTATCGAGGCCTTGTATAGAGTGAGGAGGTTACGTGAAGAAAAGTACTTCCAGGCTCTAGACAAATAGCCCAGCTGCCTCGATTGACGAGACATAATAATCAAATTCAAGCGGATAACCAAATGGAAATGGTATTTACCATTTTGGGTTGGTATTTACCAATCCGTTCAAGCGAGTGTAGTTATCAGTTTGGTTATAAGATCCGTGACGTCACGAATCAGCTGTTATATGTCATAGTTATCACCGCAAAATTGTGGTATTTACCCAACTCAAGAGTAGTTTTATATTTCTGGTTATTATTTGAAATGTGACAAGTTAGAATTTTGCCGGGTATTGGATATTGTTATTGTACTTCAGCTTCATTTTTGAGAAAAAGGATACAGGCTGACTTCAGTTTTACCATAAAGTGGAGCACCTTATTAGTTATGCTCATTACGGTTGTTGGGGACATTTTAAATGTAGTTCCTATGCTTAACAAAGTATCCTGTGTAGCCATATACCACAAGAATATTAAAATATGGCCATATAAACTCACTAGATGATATCCACCTGTATACGGTTTTGCTAATTTCTTTTTTCATCATTTCTGCTGAATCAATAAATGTTTTCTTTGACATGCGGAAAAATTTAGAGAATTGAAAGTTATCATAGCTACAAAGCCATGGTTCCATCATTAAAACAAACATCTGAAAAAAACATTTCTCCCATGAATATTATGAAAGGTTTCTTATTTAAACTTTCCATATACAGTTGTAGACGAAAAAGCACCGATTATTAAGTGATAATAAAAATAATCAGAGATTATATACGCGCTTTTCTAAAATAAATAACTTTCAACAAAACCGCGGTTAAAACCAACGCGTTCAAGCGATTCGTGTAACTGACGTCATCAACCCGTGTGTTATCTTGAACCATATTATAACCGCGGCACATAACACAAATTTTGGTTATTCGCTTGGATTTGATTAATATTTTCACTGGTTTGAGTGGCATAAGACAAGATTTTCCTTTAATCTTAGATTTTTCAACTTTCTTGTAGAGAATTGTCTTGATTTAATTGATAATAAATGAATACACAAAATATGTTTTAGACTTTTTATTATAAATTTTCATGAGGATTATATGGCCTAGTTTGATATTACAAAAATGTAGTGAAAGCAAGTCAACCAATAAAAATATACTCAACTGTCTTTTGAAAATGCTGTTTGTGCAACAGCAGCAAGTATTTTCAATGACTCTGCAATACTTTGGGTATTACTTTCTATTTTTTTGAGGACCTGGAGTGATTCTTCAGTAATTGTTGTTAATCTGTTTGAATTTCTTTGGTAAGTTCTCTGATATGCTGTTCTTTGATGTTTTCTTGAGGGAGTTTTTGTATTAGTTGGAGTATAATTGTGATCAGGTAATGTTTTGATGTTATCATTTTGCCTATTTTCTTGATTTATCACATTGCAGCTTGATGCTTCCATTGTTGAGTTAAAGACATCTGTTGTATTAGATGTTGTGGTCACCTATAATGAAATACAGTATTTTCAAAGCTTTATCTCTATAGTATATGCTATGTTTCAAAACTTATCTTTATATAAATCTTTGTTGATGTAGCATTATGAAGTACTCACCTGTCCAAAGCCCATTTCACATACGTCATCTCCTTGAACAGACTTTGTTCCCATAAGGCTGAGGAGCCGCTTTTCTGCATCAGAGAGAGGTACATAATTTGCTGGTCCTCCACCAGTTTTCACAATTTCTTGTTTGATTTTTGATGCCTTAGCTTTAGTTTTACATTTCCACTCAATCAAAGCCTATTAAATACATACATTAACTGCAAAATTAAATATTGTTGATTAAAGCTTTTACCCTTCTCCAATCTTCTTTGTTTTTTACGCCAAATCCCAAACTATTCAGTTGATGGGTACTGTTTTGCCACAGTTCATGCCCCTTTGCTTTGCCATCAGGTCCATTAAATTTATTACTGATCACCTCACGGTTTTTTTTTCGCAAATATCGAGTAGCAAGTTCCAATGTTCTTGTCTGACTCTCATGATTGATCCAAATTTAAAGCCAATATTCGGAAGAAGACGCAGTCAGGTCATATATACTAAGTGACATATAAATCCGAACACCCAGTTTAAATGGTTTTATTCTAATAAAATTTTGTATAAGTACTTAATGAAGCATAATAAGTAAATGATAAAAATTTCAAAATGATTGCACTGCTTTAAAGCCCTTTGACCTTTAATAATGTGTGGATGCACCCTGATGTGCTATGCATTCTCCAACGCGCCTAGGCATGCTTCTGATCAGGTGGTCAATGTCCTCCTGTGGTATCTCATTCCAGGCAACCACCAACTCCTCTCGAAGTGCTTCTAGAGTCTGAGGAGGACGTTGCAAATTGAGCAATCTCCTACCCATCATATCCCACACGTGCTCAATTGGGGATAAGTCGGGAGATCTTGGTGGCCATGGTAACAATGTGACATCATTATGTTGAAAGAAGTCTATTGTGACTCTTGCAACAAGTGGTCGGGCATTATCTTGTTGGAAAGTTGGATCTGCCAGGGTGTCAAGATAGGTTAAAAGATGGGGTTCTAGAACTTCGTGGATATAACGCTGCGCGTTCATGTTACCTCTGATGAAGATTAAAGGTGACCTGGTACCAGAAGCTATAGCACCCCAAACCATAACTCCAACAGTGTGATGAACATGTCTTTCAACAAAAACTGTGGATTCCTCCTTTCACCACGTCGCCTTCTAACCCTGGCACGACCATCGTGCATGCCTAAACAAAATCGAGATTCGTCACTAAAGACAATACTGTTCCATTCCTCATCCCAGGGTGACCGTTGTCTGCACCACTCAAGGCGATTACGTCGGTGTTCTCGAGTTAAAGGGAGGACCCAGTGTGGCCGGTTTGAAACAAGCCAAAACTTCTCATTCGTCGGTAAACACTTCGCATGCCAATAGGTCTTCCGTGTTCTGCAAACCATTCATTTGCAATGGACCTGGTAGTGGAGAAACGGTCCCTTAAGGCCAATAATCTTAGGCGGCGATCTTCACGGTCTGTTGTTCTACGGCGGCGTCCAGTGCCCCTTGCTCTTTGCGTACGGCCTTCTCGAAGCCATGCCTGACAACACCTAACCACAGTGTCTACACTTCTTTGCACTCTAACTGCAAATGGCCGAAAAGAAAGTCCAGCTTCCCGAAGTCCCACTATACGGCCCCTATCAAACTCACTAAGTTGACGAAATCGTACAGGTCTCCGTACTCTAGGCATCGTAACCGATCGTAAAGGATGTCAAGAACCAAAATCCGCCAACGTTGATTCTTTACTGCGGCTGAAATATTCATTTTTAGAGAGTTAGTTAATTAAAAAAAAGCAGTATAAAAACCGGAATGTCCAACTGATAAGGCTGAAAATTTTTTCACTTGTTATTTACAGTAAGATAAATACATTCACCAACTTTTATTAAAATAAAACCATTTAAACTGGGTGTTCGGATTTATATGTCACTTAGTATACATACAGCAAAGCATTTGCAAAGTGAGGTTAGAAAGCTTTTTTCCGTAGAATTCCACACGTCAAGACAAGTGGTTTTCAAGCAGAGATAAACCCTTCTAGAGATGGGAAACTTCAATACTAAAATAAGTTACCGTATTTCTGCGACCTCTGGTGGATTGGTCTCACACCAGTGCTGAATAATGGGCCTTTCCAACTTAATAGAACAAACCTAATGGTGCTTTTTACATTCTGTTAATAATAAATCGTCTTACGTAACAAAAACACTCCAAATGGGTTAATTTCCACTTTCTTAGTCATTAATACATGACGCACATTTCGACACAGTGTCTTTCTCCAATGATGGGATGAGTCGCGCGTCACGTATTAATGACTAATATAGCAGAAATTAAACCATTCGGAGTGTTTTTATTACGTAAAATGACTTGTGGAAAATCTTTCCAGGGGATGCGAAGGGAGGAATTAAAATTAAAGAAATAATTATAGTCATTTTATGGTCAATCATTCATATATAAATTATCTCACCTTTCTCACAAAGCTAAATATAATAATAATAATGTCTTTAGAAATCCATCCACACTGCGAGGCGAAGTTTATCCAGCTGGCTACTCTACCACTTAACCTCACAGCGCAGAAACACATACAAAAAAAAGATATAACAATGAATAGCAATCGACTAACTAATATATACAATAATTAAGGCTTAAATAGAGTAATCTTAAGATGTTATACATCGCATTCTTGATTACTCAGTGTCCAGATTGTCATAAGTAAGGCTTTCTCTATATGGATAGGGCTTCTTCCTGGTCCACTTTTTAAATATCCAGTTCTGATATTTTGTAGTAATTGCTAAAATAAAATATAAAAAGTTTAGTCTCAGAGAAAATCTTTCTGGTATGTAACTACCTCTACTGATCCCGAGAAATTATAAAATGACTCTTAAATTCGTCGATAAAGAATGTTAGAACTACATCCACATAATACCTGGACACTGGATGGATTCCATTTTCTATCTTATTCATAATGTATATATCTTCAGTGTCAGATTCACAACTGCTGGCAGAGCTTGATTCAGAAGTCTGTGATATCAACATTTCCAAAACTATTAAACTTTCCATGTTCCACAAAAATACATACATACAAAACACAATACAGAATTTGATTTTCAGAAGAAAGAAGAATCTCCTTCAGTCTGTCAAGTTGGCAGTTATAGGTTAGGATTTCAAACACAAAACGAAATAAGTCTCATATTTCAAATCTGTCCAACGTGTTCTTAAATTCAATCGAGGTTCTATCCAAAATTCAAGGATGACATCGCGACAACTCACCGAGTTATCTAGCACTCATTCATTGATGGAATAAAAGAACACGCCTTATGCACCAGCAACAGGTAGTTTTTAGGGTGCAAACAGTCGTTCTACGTTTGCTCACTTGGGTCGTTGTAAGCGCGATCCATCTATGAAGGAATATCTGAACGATACGAGATACTTTTCTCGTCACAAATATGTATTATTGGTTGCAGTGATACACAGAGCTGAGAGAGCAACTTGGTTCATAGACCTCAATGTGTAGGTTTAAAATGTGAAAAACGAAAATTTGGTTGAGTAGCAAGACCGCATCTGGATGATTGTTTTGGTCTGCATGTGTATAAAAAAGTGATATGTGATAAGTTGAGAACATTATTACTTTACATTATTACAGCCAATGAAGTATATCTATTAGTTGTGCCAGACGAGTTATTTGTGTTGTTCTCTCTGAAGAGAGGTTATGTTCAAAGTTGCACTGCTGGCATACACATTTCAACAACCACTTACGACCCTGCGTATTGGTGAAACCAAGGGCACGCTGAGGTACAGGCCCTCTTAGTTCATTCTAATATTGTTCTAACAGTTGACAGGTGGAAGTGTCTGTGTGTTATTTTGTGAATAGTGTCCACATCAAGTTAAGGTCAAGGTTCGATCAATCAAACGGTGAGGGTTTTCACCGAGTATCTTTTATTGTTTTGCTGTACTGCATGTGTATTTTTTAACCATGGTACCCTTATAATCATGATAATAATTGTAATAAGTCAAAGCTAGTTAGATGAGTTATGTTTATCAACAGTTAAGATAAAGTTAAAGGTAACTTAGCGTCAATCATCTACAGAGGTGTGACGCCTCCATATCCTGGAGGCTGTTATGAGACCTACGAGCCGGGTTGCCATCGGGGGAATTACTGCTCGGTTTCTTCTGTCAGAGGAAATGTCGGAGCGTATTGGGTATTGATACAACGGCCATTGGCCGGCGTGGTATCCTGCGTCTGTGTGACCGCCTAGGTTCTTCTCGAGGCAATCGCAGGAGTCTGAAAGTATCTCATGGCAAGATGTGTATAGGGATTGTTACTTAAAGTTGTCCGCTGCTCGGTTATCTCTCAATCAGAGGTAACGTCGGAGTTTTTGGGTATTGACACGGCAACGTGATATCCTGGTTTCTGGGCTGCTTTCGTAACAATCAAGTACTTGGCATATCTGTCTAAGCACCGATTATAAAGGTATCCATATCGGGCGTGATGACTTCCATGCGGTAGGAAGCTACCGTTCCCCATGCAAGGTATTATATTTCCATATCAGGCGTGACTTCCATGCGGTAGGAAGCTACCGTTCCCCCGTGCGAGGTATTATATTTCCATATCAGGCGTGACTTCCATGCGGTAGGAAGCTACCGTTCCCCTGGTTATGGACGTGGGTATGACTTCCATGCGGTAGAATGCCACGGTTCCCCCATGCTATGAATTGTAATTTATAATAATTGAGAAATATCATGGCCATTATTATATTGTTTTGTGATCAGTATTGAGACAGCTAATTAACAGACATAATGAATAGACAGTAGAGTTGTGCATGTCATGAGTCGGTAGAATATGGAAGGTACTCAAAAGGTTTTTCTTAAAATAGGCTTGACCCCGACAACCCAGTTCTAGCGACCGTATCTCTCGCCAAGGAAGAACAACCCCCCTGTCGTTAACCTCACCAAGTAAGTGGCTTTAAAATTATCCTGACATTGAAGCCCTTGTTAAGTTGTGTATTTACTAAGTACTCTCGTAATAAAATTGAAAAGGTACAGGGTAGTACTTCGAACGCTTGTAAGGTGGAATTGTTGTTTATACGCTTATCGTTATATTTCTATTATCATCTCTTATATGTAAATATAAAATATAAGATTCCACTTAGTTAATTCTCATCTGCAATGATTGAATTAATTCATCTTTTGTATGTTACTCAAATTAGCATTGCTAGTAAAATTTTTTAGGTTTTACCTATACTTTCTTCATAATTATAATTTTCATGAAGTTTGTTCTGTGAATTTTAAAGATGTTTGGTTTCATTTGAACCTTCATCCTCGTTTTTGCCTCAAACAATCAGTAGAGTCAAGTTGAACATGCTGAGCAGTATTTTGAAGCAAGTAAGCAGAAAGATAATATTGAATGGATGAATTAGTCGTCACCATCAAAAACATCCGTGTTCCACTATTTACAAAGTTTTTACTGTATTATTCAAATATTTGAAGATTTATACAGTATATTGATTATACAATAAATTTCAACTAAATTTTAATCAATTAACCCTATCAAAGCACATAAGTTAATAATATTTATTCACAAATTAAACATATTATTGAGTGACATTGGCAAAAACAATCATCATCAGAAATCCTTTAAGCTTCAGCTTTTTCTGACAATTTTTGAGCTTGCTCGAAACAGTGTTTCCAAAGGGATCAAATATTATTAGTGTGCTCAAACACTTGGAAATTGAATGCATTCTTTTCTTAACCTTACTTGTTTCTTGTGAGATGACCAGTATTGTTTGCAAACACACATTTAATAATAATAATAGACGTCTTTATTTATCCACAATTACATTGTAGTATAGCCAAATGTCAGACTTACATGGCGAAGTATTTTGTCATTGTTTCTTATATACAAACCTATTTTGGGAATATTTAATGTTTTTTGTGGTGTGAACTTGGATGACGGAACGTAGCAAACAATTTAGCAAAGATACTCAAATTCTTATTTCAGAAAATTTCAGGGTGAAAATGAACTTCAGATTTATATTTTTCATCTGCTCACTACATGCGTTTTAGCACAATAATTACCTACCTCAATACTATGTAATATATAATAATCTATAAGTGATTTAATGGGAAGAAAGATTTTGGGATAGGTATTCGTAAATAGATTTTCTAATTTCACCTTAAACATTTTTAAATTCGAAGAAGTTTAATATCGTCATTCAATTTATTGAATTCAAATCCTGCCTTTTGAAATACAGATTTGCTAGTTATGCTACTACGAGGGATGTCTTTTAAGTTTTGCATATAGAAACACAGTAGGCCGCGCGGACCGAACGTCAGTACCGAATCTCAACCTCACTAAACTTAAATTCAAAGTTTCACTACAATACATGCAGTGTTCTCACTACAGTGAATTTTTAAGTGTCACCAACTCATTAGAAAAATGTAACTCAACCGAGAACATTTTCGCGCCATAATTTATTACAACTTTCAGAGACAATTATCGCAACAAGAATGCCTTGCTGAGTTACTGTCTGTTTTCGGCAACGAAGCGCCACATCAGTCGACAATTTCCAGTTGGTATGGAAAATTCAAACGTGGACGGGTGAGTCTTAGTGACAATTCCAGGATGGGTGTACCAAAAAGGGCAGTCACCCAGGAAAACGTCGATGCTGTGCGCAAACTCATCATTGAAGGTAGACATGTGACATATCGCGAGATTGAGGCGCCCTTAAAGATCTCAAAGACCTCAATTCAAAAAATTTTACATTAAGAAATAGGAGTAAGAAAATTAGTTTCTCGTTGGATACCCCACCTGTTGACTGAAGAGCAGAAAGCAGCCAAGGTTAATTGGTGTCAAAAAACGCTTGACCGTTTCAATTCCGGAAACTCAAAAGATGTGTAAAGCATTGTTAGAGGTGATGAATCGTGGATTTAGTGTTATGAACGAGAAAATAAACGACAGTCGGCTGTCTGGGAGTTCCAAGGTGAAGAAAAGCCAACAAAAGTCATCCGTTTCGAAGTGTTTCGAAAAAGATGGTCGCGACATTTGTGTCAAAAGCGGGCCATCTTGCAACAATTCGTCTTAATGAGCAAATAACTGTTACTGCGGATTAGTATACCACCGTTTGTTTGCCAAAAGTCATCACCGAGCTTCGAAAAATCAACCCCGAAAGAAGAATCATCCTCCACCAAGACAATGCAAGCTCGCACACAGCCCAAAAAACAAGGCAGTATTTAACGGAAGAAAACGTGGAATTATTGGACCATCCTCCATATAGTCCCGATCTAAGTCCTAACGATTTCTTTACTTTCCCGAAAATTAAAAATAGACTGCGTGGTTAAAGGTTCCTGTCAACAGAAGAAGCAGTTGACGCATTCAAAAATGCCGTTTTCGATCTGCCAACAAACGAATGGAATAAGTGCTTCGAAAATTGGTTCGAGCGCATGCAGATGTGTATTAATCTTCGTGGAGAATACTTCGAAAAACAATAAAGTCATTAAAAACTACCTACCGTATTGTTTTATTTCCATATTACAGTTTTGCAGATAAAAACCGATACTGCCTCTGTTCATAGTTATGATTATAGCTATTAATTTTGTGTTTTTATTTAAAATGATCCATAGCTTTATGTTTTCATTTGCTGTGAACAAAATAGTTGAACAACATAAAAAATGTGGAAGAATTATGGTGTTATACACATTTTTTGAATACATACTAAGATTATGTGAAACTCTATAGAAGAAATTTATCTTTTTTGATATTTTAAAATAATGACATAATGCTCGTGAAACAGAGAGTTCACTATCCGCATATAGATATTTAAATGATTGATTTTATTGATGGAAAGAAGAATGTGAGTTTATTATACATTAGGAAGTCTTATGAGAAATTCTTTAGAATAAATAAAATGTATTCTATTAATGCTGTTGTTTTCTTATTTTTAAGCTGCCATAAATATGTAGTTTTATGTGAACTGTTTTATAGTTTTCGCCATAATTCCTTTTATCTTGCCAGCTGCTTGATCAATCTTTTCAGATACATGATACAGTTTAATAACTCCCTATTTCATGGAATTTCTTTACGCCGAACCATCCACACAGGCACGGCACGGCGGCTACTATGAGGATCACAAAGACATTTTGCTATCCGATTTTTGAACTGCCAAGGTTAGTACAACTGGGAAAAGCTTCTTCTTGTAGATTGTTCCACAATATCGACACCATTGGGACCAAGGAGCAGTCGTATCGGTACTGAGGTATTCCTTAACGCGTGCACAATCACTTGGACGGGAAGTTATATACTGAATTCAACAATTTCCGGTACAAGCATTTGCCGCGGCCCCCGCTCTGTAGGGGAGTATTGGAAGGCGTTACCCACCTATATTGGTATTTTCTTTCCTGCGTTTGCCTGTAGACGTTCCTGAAGGCATCAAAGCAGTAGTTTAAATAATGAATTTTAGATTTATAATTTAATGAGATTCTTTCAATGTAATGACTAAAATTTTTTTAAGTTAGCTTCAAGAGCTGTGTAATTACACATATTGGAATAAAACAACAAGTTTAAATACTTATAAACATGAGTATACACATATATTTTTATAATCTAAAATGTATGTAACTCTTTATAACTACAAATGGAGCTCCTGATTTTTTTGACCTCTCCTTGGCTCTGATTAACCATCTTTTAATGATGCTAATGCTTTGATACTCCAACAAGAAGGAATATGATCGACGTCTAAAACATAGAGTCATTGGTAAACAATTCTCACACATTTAGGGTTGCCAGGTTCAAATTTGAAAATTGCAGAATGTCGGTTTCCAAGGGGAGGAGCATAATATGAAGGACATTTTCCATTAGACTAAGGCACAATTCATCTACAAAACGAGTTATTTTTTTGACAATGAAAAAATAGAAAAAAACACGTTTCTAAAAAAAAAAACAAATGTAACATGATACATCGTTGAAGTCGTAGAAAAAGATATATGTATATTAGACCCCGATAGCTTCATGCACGGAAAAACCGGAAAAACGTTAAGAGCAATTTGTAATTTCAATATTTTTTTTATAAAAGTCAAGATATTAAAAGTCCTGCACCTAAATTCCTGCCTCAAATTCAGAACTACCAATACAATCCAGGTTACCTGGTAACCCTACGTACAATATAGTTGTAGAAGCTGTACAATGAAAATTGTTAATACGTACCTAATGCACATCTGGCTAGGAGTAGCTTTCTGAATTGCAGCTATTGTTTATGACCATCCCAAGAATAACTCATTGTTACTCCTTCTGAATTCTGACACCTAATAAAAGAAAACCAATTTCAAATATTAATTTTAAAAAGTTTTTGTACACACTTATTTACTATATTTCATACAAGATATTAGCAATTTAAATGTAGAACCAGTACATTGTAGTTACTTTTCATTCTAGCCATTCTTCTTCAAAACTTTCAAATTTTTCCTTGGAAGACAGTGGCAGTGAAATATTGATTTCCTTATGTTGGTTTGAACTAGTGTTAACTGTATAGAGAACTCATTACCATATTAGGATTTTAGAAGTTATTCATCGAGATATATCAATCTTGATGTGATTGAATCTTTGTGTTTTGATACTACAAAATCGTATTTCCATCTTCCTGAAATTTTTTTTTTGAGAAAATCCTGATGAAGCTATTAAACAATGACAAAAAGTTGATTTATTGAAAGTTTTTTCTCTATGGCTTGTTAATTACGGTGGATTGTGATAGCAACCTCAATATTCGTCCCCTAGCAAGCTTTGTTTCTTAGCAGACTGTACAATTGAATTGTATCAACCTGGTACAAATTGGTACAAAGTTCCACAAAAAGAATGACTCATCTTTATGTCAGAGAAATTATCAGACTGCCTAAGTGACTATGTTTGAGATATGGCTGTCCAGATTACTTAAAGTAGCTAATAAAATCCTCACATTCTATTAGCCTCAAATTTAGTGTTCTAATTACCTGATTTAGGTATCATTAATTGTGTACAGCAAATGTGATTGACTATATATTTCTTTTGAATGTGCTAGAGGTGTACAGTGTTTCTAATGACTGTATTAGCACTGCAACAGGTAAAACACTGCAACCCTGGTACTAATGGGACTTGAGGTTTAATATCTAGTTTACACTTCATAAGTTACAGACACAGACCATTTACAAACATGTAATATTATCAACAATCACAATAAATCTATATAGAAAGTATGAAGATCACTTTAAGAAATGAATCTTTCATTCATTTGAGGCAATTCATTTGAAGCAACTTTAGACAATTCTTTCACTATCCTAAAAAATGTTTACCCGAAATGCAGAGAAAACTGTGCATTCTACATCAGATTCCAAAGTCTTTGTGGCAATGATATCATATTTTGGGTTCTTTCTAATCATTTTGTTCAGAGATATACTGGTTCAGTTACAGCAAATATCCAAACTCCAACTTTCCAAATTGTTACAATCCTAAATACTACTACTTGCTTACCATTGCCAGCCAATGAACATAAATTATGGAACCAGCCCATTTACTTCTGCTGTCCTAATACATAGCGCTATTCCAAATCGGTAATGCCCCATTATTGTAAACGTAGTAACAGCCAGCAGTATCTCCGCTTGGGAAAATACTACTGTTTGAGTTTAATGTTTTATGTATTGACAAGCAATTTTTGTAATCTCTTCTTTACACACACTCAGAATATTTTGTTAGAAATAAGTATAAATAAGGTCATTTTGTAGCCATTGAATTCATTCATTATCCACGTTCTGTACAATTCTGTAACCAGTCTCTTCAATAAAATTTAGATTTTGGTGAAAACTACGACGAGATAATTAATTGGCGCTGCGAACGGGATAGCCAAGCCTTTGAAGATTCCATCAAGAGGCCTGACTTTGGGTGAGCCACTTTTACAAAAATCAGCAAGATTAATTTGGGTCCTCGCCTATTCGTCCGCCAACTTGCTAAGAAGGTAAAAAGTCTCTACTAATTTCTAAGTTGACTATCCGAATCCTGATTGTGGCCGGTAAGACCACGCAACGTCGTAGAAACCCCTGAAAACAAGTTGAAGAAGTTATAGCATCGAACGAGTGATGAATCCCTGTGCAAACCTTCTGATGTTCCTGCCTTTGTAAGTAATTTTAAGCAACAGTGACGTTTTGATGCCTATTGAAAAACGTTGCGCTCCGAAACCATATCCAAAAGTAACTAGTAGAAATATTTTGATGAATCCAGAAGCAACCACGATGTCTAATCCTACAAACACATCTACTGCTCAACATCAAGAATTCAAGTTATTGGAATTAACATTTAACGCTTTACAACATAGATTAAGAAAATGTTCACCTAGTAGTAAGAATTTATCTAGTTTCCTACGAGATAGCGAACAATTTATTAATAAGTTCACAGGTACTTTTTTTGAGTCGTTATCTATAGAATTAATTGTTTCTAACGTATTGGATAAAGCACATGAAAAGATACGACTAAGAAATGCCACTATTTGGACTGATATTAAAGATATTTTAATAACAAATTATAGAAATACTAAATCTGAAAACATCCTAATAACTGATCTAAATGCCTTAAAACTGAAAGACAACGAAACTTACCGAGATTTTTACGAACGAATTTTACTCTAGTTAAGAGATTTACACGACTTCGCTTGTACAACTTTTGCCGATCATAATGTTCAACTTTCTCGTTTAACGCAATACGAGGATTTTGGATTAAAATCTTTCATACACGGAGTCAAACTGCCGTATTCAGAACGCCTTAAAATAAAAGTCCTACAACCCTACAAAGCGCACTTTCTATATGCGAGGAAGAAGATAATTCCATAATGCAATCCAAATACAAAGAACAAACTAGTAGATCATGTTCACAAACGCTGTTCAAGTCTCATTTTACTACACCAGAGAGAAACCAACAAGTTTTTCGTCCCCAATTTAATAACAATTTCAGGCCAAGACCACCGTTCCAATTCAATCCATTTAACAGATTTTCAGGACAACCTCAGAATCATTTTCGAACTAATAACCATTTTAGACCATTTAATCCAAATACTCAATATCGAGTGCAAAATAATTTCCAAACACCTAGAAATAATTCTAACCAATCAACACCGATGTCTACTTCTACTATAAAATCTAATCGACCATTTCACAGACCCAATTTCTTTTCAAATAACGGACAACAACCAAGTGTTGCTGTACAAGAATTAACTAAAGTAGAAAATCCACAAATTGAGAATCAAACTGAACAACCGTATGAAGAAAACTACATATGAAAACAACGAGCAGTCGTACGATCCTTCGTTTTTTAGAAATGGAACCAACGAGTACAAACTCGACTTAAATAATTACAATGAAGAAAATCATTTACCTTATATTTACAATCCTAATTTGAACCTAATAATTCTAATCGATACTGGAGCCTCGGCTTCGCTGATAAACTCACAAATAGCTTTTCAACATTTCCCACAAAAATTTCACTATCAAAACTGCTATTGATACTAAAATAGGAGAATATGCTTGTAAAATTCCAATTTTCAATAATTTAGGTTTTGCTATAGAAACAGAGTTTCTAATCATAGACTGGCACCACAATTATGATTGTCTGCTAGGATATCACGACTTGCGAAAATATAGAAGCAAATTTGATCTAGGAAAAAATATACTTTCAATCCAATCATTTAACCTTCCAGTACTCGCGCGGGGAAAATCACGTAGGTACTCGCGTGGGGTACTGAGGTACCCCAACCTGTTTTTGTGTTTTTTAATTTAAATAAAACAATAGTTGGAGCTTTTCTTTGAAAAATATATTCACACAATTTTTCTAAATGCTTTTATAACAGAACAAAAAATATTCACTTACGAAAGAAATGCTAACATAATATTTATATAAAATCCTAACTAACAAATCAGGTCCCTGAAGGTATAATATGGCAAAAGCATCTATTCGCTGTCACAATTGGTTTCTATTTCTCTGCTATCAAGGCAATTACGGCATACGAAATTTTGATGAATTTTACATATCCACTCGACACATTTTACGCATGTAATTGGCGTTTTTCTATCAGCTGATCTGGTCATAAATAACACCTACCCTTTCCAAGTTTTTGTTTCTTTGTAGTAGCCTTGTCTGTTGCTAGAGTAGTTTCCTCAATGTTCAGTAAAGCGATAGCCCTTTTCTTTATATTTCTTGGGATATTATCCATATATATTCTTTTCATTATTTGTGGCCGTACTAACTCTGCAGCTAACTCTTGCCGGAAATGTTCTCTGTTTGGTTTTTTAAATTATTGTTCATAGCAAATAGACAAAGTGCGTTGATACCAGCAATATTTAGAATGTCAAATAAAACTGTCAGGCTAGCCAGGTCATATTGGGCACAAAGTTTGTCTACGACATCCACTCCAGATTTAGTTCTGTTGTATTCCAGGATTATTTCAGGTTTCAAGCATTCCCTATCAATCTCGTCATCGTGGTGCATTGATGAAATCAGCAATACATTTTTGTCTTTTTTTGGAACGTTAGACAGCAAAGTAAGATCTGATTGAAAGGCAAACATACTACTCTGTTCTGGTCTAGAAGCAGTCTGTGTGAATTCTAATGGAATCTCTCTTTTATTTTTCCTGAGCGTACCAACCATAGTAAATTTATCTTTCAATAAGTCCCTAGCAAGAGGTACACTGGAAAACCAATTATCCATTGTAATGTTACGACCTGTACCTTTAGAGGCTCAACTAACCTTTTACTCCAGGACTGTTACTCAAACCATACGGCCCGTTCGGTTGTTTACCTGCATATATTTCTAACCTGTATGTATACATGGCTTTGACATCGACCAATGCAAATATTTTGATTCCATATTTGCTGGGCTTATTAGGTATATATTGCCTGAAGGCGCATCTTCCTCGAAAGGCAACCAGTTGTTCATCGATGGTTAGAAAAGCGCTTGGTATCACTGAAGACTGGCAATTGTTCATAAATCGCTGAAAAATGTCCCTAATCGCTGCCAGTTTGTCATACATACGTCGATCTTCCCTAGTATTTACATCATCAAATCTGATACTTCTACACAGGAATCTGAAGCGATTATAACTCATTGTTATATATATGTTTTCAATTCCATTGCCATTTGTGTTCCATAATGTCCGAATATTCTGCCTCCCAGGTTTCAAAGATCCCGCCAAATAAAGTATTCCTATAAAAGATCTTATCTCACATACGTCAGTCAATCTAGCATCACGTTCTCTATCGAAATTTGCTTGAATCTTTGCAATGTATAGATTGGTACATTTCACAACGATTTCAATCATTGAATCATCAATAAATTGGCTAAGACAGTCCATCGAGGATTTGGCGTTTTTTTGCGTTGCCTACTGGCCCTGGAACTTTCAATATAAGATTATGAGCCTTTGTTCTTGACGTTGGTGGTTGTTTTTACTCCATTTAGTTTCTTTAACCTTTCCCAAAAAATATGGACCACCGTTTTTTCAGAATCTTCTTCAATTATATTCGAAATATCAGCTCCCTCTTCAGACTCTTGCTCCGTATCTGAACATTCACCTTGTACTTCCAAGTTATCTGTTTCTTGCTCCGATGGATCATCTTCACCATAAACTTCTTCGTCGTCACTGTCAAGCATTTCATTATACCATTTCAGCCATTGCTGTGGGTCTCTACTTGATAAATTTGCCATATTTTTACCTGCAATAACACCAATAAATTGCAAAAAACCTCAAAAAACAAACAAAAATACTTCCTTGTTACTCCGATGCTCGCGAGGGGTATCTAAATACCCAATCAAATTTCGACTCGTAGCTTACGCACCACGTGATCTCGACTGCAGCCAACTCTTAACACCAGCCTGCGTATACTACACTCGAGAAATAGACGAAACTATATGCCGATCGTCATTCCCCCACTCCAGTATAGATAGAGATATTACTAGTGGGGTATTTGGATACCCCGCGCGAGTTCTGGAAGGTTAAAATAATTTGCCACAGCCATAAAGACCCCATGCGAATTCCTAACGATACTTTTAATACATGTCAGATTGATACTAATCATAATTCTGTAATAATTTCTACTCCATACGATGAACCTTAATATATTTGTCCAATTATTAATGACAAACTAATGCTACCTAACGAAATTTCGACATATGATATTAATACTTTACAAATTGAACCCATGGACAACTATGACATTACTATTGAGGATAAATACCCATTACCGCGTACTGAAGAAATCCTAGAGAACTTAGGAAAAGCAAAATACTTTTCGACACTGGACTTAGCGCAAGGATTTCACCAAATATCTATGGA